GAAAAAAATAAATATGACCACGATTTGTCGTAATTCGCAATATATTGTAATTGAGTATGAATTACTCACTTTTGACGTAATTCGCTCTCAAATTTTTTTAATGGCGCATTAAGTAATTGGACATGGATTGGGGTGCCGTAGAAATGCCGTACTACTAATTTACTATAGAGTATAGATCTCTAGATTTCGATCATTCTGGCATTTGCTATCGAAACAGAGGCTACCAATTATTTGAAAACCCAAAGACAATATCAGAGAACTTATACTGAAAAGAGAGGATCGGGGCGTGCCGATTGCCATTTGTTCCACCTACGGTATTGCTAAGAAACTGCTTCATCTTTATACGACTTTAATAAGTGACTATTTCACCGCTAGTTAATGGCGAACTACCAGAGACTGACAAATTATTTACAGAAGAATGATATTTGGGAGAGAATTATTTTATTAATTTATTATTATCTTGCTCAGAAATGTTGACGAACAGAGTTAATTTCTGGCGGCAGTGGTGAAATACTCGAATCTAGTCTGGCAGTTCACACGCCGTCCGCAATCGGTCCCTCTCGTTATTTTACGTTCTCTGGCAATATATTTAATTCCAAAGAAACAGACGTCATACAGTATTTCAAAATACCAATTAATCGAAAGGGAATACATTTCGAATGGAACTAAAATGTGAACAGCCATTTTATATGTCCCCCATACGTACCTTCTGACTGCCCTTATATTTTCACGGAAACTTATTAATTTATAATTATTTGCACTGACGACAATTCTTTTTAGAAAATTAAGTCATCCATTGTTAAGCAAATATCACTTCATAAGTGAATATGTGTTGAGGGTCTGAAAATAATTAAATTTGCCTTAATGCACGAATGGCATGGCAATTGCTAAAAATAAGCAATTAAAATATTTGCTTGAATCTTTGTGTTGATAGCAATCAATTTTATAGCAATTGAAATTTGGTTGCATTTTTGCTTTGAACACAAGTAAGGTAGGCTAATGGCGGGTGGAATACAAGGCTGTCGATCAGTACTAAGGGCACTATCTTATTTCTTACTGTGTATTTGTTTATTATTGTATTACACTAAATTGAGGGCTTTATTTCCGCTTTAACTTTTTATTGCCATAAAGTTGGGACAATCGATTTTCGCAGGCTTCTTATTCAGGTCAATTCACCACCAGCCCAACCATTCGCCATAGGTAGGAACAGATGGTTATCACTTGGTGCGAGGACGCAACCCAGCTCTCGGGTCGTCTGACGAGTCACTATCGATGTGTCTTGTCCTGATGAAACACCATTCCTATACTGTTGGCCAAATCTATGCACTTCTGAGCGATTTCTTCCTTTTAACATTCTAATCGTTGACAGTACAGCTCCAAATTAAGAACTTGCACGTAGGGAAGTAGCTAACAGTAGGTTATTCCTTTTCCAATTCCACTGAACACATACAACAAAACCTTCCTGACCGTCAGTCTTGGCTTGAAGGCTGTTTGTGCCGGCTCACCACCGTTTTCGTATGACGTTGCTGTAAGTGGTCCACTTTTCATCACCAATTACCATCCACTTCGGAAATAAATCGATATTGCTACAATTCAGCAGAAATTAGCAAATCATGAGGTTCTCTCTCGTTAAATCATGTGACATTCATACATATATATAGAGCTTCTTTGTGTATTTAACCTTTTTCAAGTGGTTCCAAGCTGGTTTTTACGCAATGTTTAGCTTTTTTATCGACAGTATCGACAATCGGCATTCCCAAATCATTCATCAGCGAACGTATATTATTCTACATTCTCTGGACGAAGACAGCTTTTCTTTCTTGTACTTTTAAAGTTCGGTTCCGTCCAGTATTTAGGTCTTCCTTAATTGTTCTACCCTACTTATGTATATATATATATATATTTATTTATTTATATGCACAAATGTTTGCACATTTTGCAAAGTAAACCTAACGAAAATTAGAAAAAAGATTTTTGCTGGATGTATGCAGGCAGGAGGAATATTTGAATGAAATGAAAAGACTATGACATTTTTTGGCAAAGGAAAATGATTTATCTATATGTACGTAAAATGTATTATCTCCCGCACGCGTTTGAGCATACGTCATTAGACCAGATTATTGTACAAGCACACATATGTACATATGCATGTAAATGGTAGCAATAAAATATTTGTAAAATATTATATTGAAATACATAAATCTTCTTTCTTTCTTCAATGAAGTCTACTTGTAAATATATATGTATGTATTTATGAACTAGAGCTCAAAATTCTCGTCGAACATTTTCGAGTGTTTGAGCAACGGACACTCGTTTATTAGTTAGTGATCAAAAAGTTTCAAACACTTTGAACAGAAACTTTGATCTCCGCAACTCTTTTCTCTATAATTTTAAATTTATACAAAAAATATGCAAAGTGTAAAAATCGTTAAAATGTATAAGAAAACTTACAGACAAAATTTTTGAAAATTTTAAACAAACAATAAAACATTTGTGCACTGAACGAGTATCGAGCGAGCATCAAGTCGTCCGCACTACTCGATACAAGGGTATCTAGAGCTCGTACATACAGTGTGTCCCAAAAATAACCGAACTTTTTGGATATAAAATAAAATACACTTTATATTATCTTTGAAAGTTATTATTTATTCAAAATAGGTTCCATTTGACTGAACACAACGTTTGGAACGATCAACCAGCGCATGCATACATTTTTTTGTGTCATTTATAGAAATGTTCTTCAGTACCTCGGTTATGGCTGCTTAAATGGCTGGGATATCATCATAAAATGCTCCCTTCATCTTGGTTTTCAGTTTTGGAAATAAAAAATAGTCACATGGTGAGAGATCAGACGAATACGGAGGATGGTCGATGAGAGTAATCCCTTTTTTCATTAAAAATTCGAGCGATTTTTTGGTCGTCATTTAATTCATGTGGAACAAATCGCGCACAGACCTTTCTTTTCCCCAAGTCTTCATTTGAAATTCTCCAAATAGTGTTTTTACTCGTATTCAATTCCTCAGCCAACATTCTCGTAGCAAAATTTGCATCAATACCAATGATTTCACGGACTTTTTCCACCAGTTCAGCACGATTACTAGTTTCTGGACGTCCTGCTCTAGGGTCGTCATTTATATCCTCACGACCAATTTTAAATCGTGTAAACCACGTATAAACTTGCGTACGACTCATACAAACATCACAATAAACTTTTTTCATTAATTTTTTTTCAAGTTTGACACAAAATTTTATATTTGCGCTTTGTTCCATTTTATTTTTGAACCATTATCACACTTTTGGCTTTATTGAAATGGCTGTCACTTTTACATCTGTCATCCGACTTACATGATGTTAGGTGCGTTTGTAAGAGGATGAATGTATCTTTTTAATGTTGCGAATTTTCAATAGATGGCGCTATATGTTGTACGATTTATATATAAAGTTCGGTTATTTTTAGGACACACTGTATTGTCCACGTGTAAAAGTAAAACACTGAAAAATATACAGCATCAATTTTTATTCTCTATGGTTTCAACGTATTGTTAGGATTTTTATAATATGGACTTTAAAAACTGAAATTAGTTCTGGACTAGCCTACGCCACTAAGTCTCCCATAAACGTCAGTGACGTGCTTGACGTGGCCAGATATTTAAGCATAGAAGAATTACAGTTTATCTCGACCACCTGAGGAACGTAACAATTAATTTGAAAAACTTTAGCAACCGCTTCGGTTCTCTGTGAAATGATACTGTACTAACACTTCTCCAACCGTCAGTAACCAGTACCAGTTTTTTCACAAAATGAACTTTTTACATGATTCTGCAACAACTGCCATAGTTGATAGTCTACCCTCATATATGATTGGTATGATGAAGACGTTCTGCTGTTGTTGTTGGAGCGGCTATTCAAGCCCACTTAGAAGCAAACGAAACTAGTCTAACGGTAGGTTCAGGAAATAATTCGATGTTTCGAAGGGTTCGGGCCAAAGCGATGAGTAGTAGATGAGTAAGTTTTAAGAGGCATTCAAAGAGGAGGTTGGTATCATTGCATTGGATAAGCAGGAATTCGGAAGAAAGTTCAAGAAGATGCAGAAGTACTCTCGGTGAATGGCGTTTAAAGTCTGTCGGCACACCGTCTTCTCCAGCAGTTCTTATGCTGCTGGTTCTGAACGGAGTTCTTGTAGTCAAGTACTCCCTTCCGGCTGTGTCTAGTTGGTGGCTCGGCTGCAAGTAAATTCTGTTTGAGCTTTCCCTAGATGCTTCGCTGTGCAAGTGATGCTCCGACGACATCAGAAGGTTTCCTGCCTGGCAAGTTTGTAGCTTCTGCATCTGCCTCTAAGTCGGAATAGCGTAGTTTACGACCAACCAGCCTTGTATGTTGCAAGCAACTTCTTTGTCTTTTGCCCAGGTGCTGGGGCCTGCACTTTGCAAGTGCCTTGTAAGTTTGTATGTTGCCAACAGCAGGTGCAACATCAGGTGGTTTTTTGACATGGTCCGAAGGGCGGTGTTGTGGCAAGCTTGTAGTTTCTTCATCTGCGTCTCGCTAGTCCCTGGCGTACAAATCGAAACAGCGTCTTTTACGATCGACCAGCAAATTCCTTAGATGTTACCAGCAACCCTTCTTTATGTTTTGACCAAGTGCTGCAGCTTGCACTTTGAGGATTTTGTTGCGACTTCATACTTTTGTGATAATTGCAGTCGTTATTCAGTGTGAAGGAGTGCAGGTTGTTGACTCCTAGTATCTTTGGGTTATTCATTTTACTTGTTCGCCCAGCTGGTAAAAAGGGTGGCTGAAGATTTCATTGATTGTAGCTGTAGTTATCTTGCAGTGGAAGTCGATGGAAAAGCGGATTCTGGTTCGGCTCTACTATTTTTCGTCGCTTTTTTGTCTTTCTTTCGATATACCTGAAAGTAGGGATGTTTCTGTACCAAAGTCAACTTCATATATATTCTGTACACACGTATGCAGATGTATAATTATATTTTCTTGTTCATTTGAAGGGTTCTTCTTGCCAAAGAATCTCAGCCCGAGCGTTGGGAACGTGAAATTGCACCTATGGAATATCACAATGAAGAACGTCGCAAATTGGATGATGTTTGGAATGCTGATTTTGTGAACATTGCACAGTATTTACGAGGACCATGTCGTCTGGCTGATCGCTTTTCTGAGGATCTCATTATGCAAGTTGTGGGCATTTTGGAAGTGAACGCATTCGAAGCCCGAACCACACAAGGATATGCATTGCGTTGCCTCTATCCAATTACTGGTATTTTAGCTCATAACTGTGTACCAAACACATTTCGCACTATACATCCGAGTGAGGGTTACAGGTAATGCGGAATTTCGTAATTGCAAATCAATTCAAAATATCAAAATAAATTTAATTATATCTTTAACTAATACGCTTAGAATTCGTCTGCGAGCCATGTGCGATCTGGCCGAAGGACAACAGTTACAGCACTCCTATACATACACACTGAATGGCACCGTACAGCGTCAGGAACACTTAAAGACGGGTAAATTCTTCACCTGCCAATGCAAACGTTGCAAAGATCCCACAGAGTTGGGTACAAATTTCAGTACATTCAAGTGCAGTAAATGCGAAGATGGTTGGCTGTTACCGTCAGATCCATTAGGTAGCTAAGAGAGATTATTTTATTATATGTATTACATAATTTCGTTACTAAAATCATTCTAACATTTTAGATTCTTCTTGCAAATGGAAATGTACACTTTGTACATTCAGCACATCCAATAATGCAATACAGAAAGCTCTCTCAGTTATGCAGTCCGAAGTTGCCACAATACAAGCTATGGAGCCAAGTCCACAAAAATTACAAGAAACAGAGAAGCTGATGCGAAAATATCTTGTAGTTGTACATCCTCGACACTTTATACAAACAGGTCTGCGACAGAGTCTCATCGAGATGTATGGACGTGTGGCGGAATATGAATTGGCCGAATTGCCTGATGTAATGCTCGATCACAAAGAAGATCTGTGTCGGCAAGTTTTACGTGTTTTGGAAGTTTTCGAGCCGGGTTTGAGCCGCACACGGGCAATGATGTTGTACGAATTACACGTTCCACTGGTTTTATTGGCCAAAAGTGGATTCATAGCGGGTGTTCTGTCAACAGATGTATTGAAACAAAAGCTCCTTGATGTCATTGATATACTTAAAGAATGCGTGGATATACTACAATATGAAGATCCCGAGACGCAAGAGGGTAATCTTTGTAAAGTAGCACAACAGGCGATGGAGCAGCTGATACAGAGCGTAGAAGGTTTAACTGGTAGCGAATAACCTTGCTGAACGTTTGTCTTGTTATGTTTTTGAATATCTACTATTGTTGAAATTAAATAAATTGTATGAATATTATTAAGAATTACATATCTGTATGTGTGTAGCAATTAGTTTTTGTTTGAATGAAGGATGTCTTAATAGGCGGGAGGAAAAATCAACGTAAGATTTTAACTTGCATGCAATCACACAGCATTTGAACGGAAACTTCCTGATCCAAAAACAGAAAATGAAACGTCGGTATTCTACACCAACAGCCCTTAGCTGAAAAAAGCGGCGGCTCAACGCCGATCGCGTTTTTTGTCTTTACGGACTCCACTCAGCACCATATCACAGAACAACTGGACAAAACAAGTGCCGTGAAGATAATTCGCAGAGGGTCATCCACAACTTCATTAGCTCGTCATCCACAACTTCATTAGCTCTCGTGCCGCGACTGCCGTTATTGAATACTAACGATCTATCTAAATCCGTAGCAGACGAAGAGTATGGCTGGTTCTTGTGATCAGAGTAATGCTGGCACAATCAAGGTCTCGTTACTGTAGCAGACTTAACACCGATTTATCCCGACTCGACGCCGACATCAACCATTGCCTTGCATGTTGGTTAAAAGTACCACCCTAAGAAAAATTGTAGGACCACTATTTTTTTTTTATAAATTAGTGAAATCACCTCAGCGATGGGGCTATATAAGAATAGAAGTGTAAATTTGCTCAATAGTGTATCAAAACCAAACTACGAGTGATTTGACTTAGTGATGAAATGAATGTGAACAGCAATTAAGTATACTCCTGCTGGTTAGGGGCTCAAGAATTTTCCCGCGGGAGTCATGGCTGTAGGAAGAGTCGACCGTCGGGTCTTTAGCGGAACATGCTATTATTTTAACTGGCTAAGGACTGTCACTCCCACAATATTTCTCAAAAACTATTATGGTGAATATTTTTGCGGTTACAACAACAAAAACAATATACTTCCCGATTATGCATTAAATCGTCAAGTATATTTTTTAAAACAAAACTTAGAAATCAACAATCTATGTCAATTAGGCGAAGATGATAGAAATGTGGTGGAAAATAAATATTAAGAATTGGACAATGCAGCAAGAGTTAAGGAACTGATAGTGACTCTCAAGAAACCAAAAGTGGGCATTTTAGGCTTCCACAGTTCTGCAAACGAACAGACCAATAATTTTTGTATATACATATGTCAGTGTGCATTTGTCAACGAAAGCAAAGACGCAAACCGAAATATATTTATAAGTTTTCAAAGCCATTGCTTTTGATTTGGAAACACTGCGTACAATGAATGAACTTTTTTCTATTTTACTACATATTCATTCGGCTGGTGCAAATCACAAAATTTTTTGTGGTCGTCGTGGTCATTGTGTTCCTTCATCTCGCTAGCAAAATTAATAACTAATGTAAGTACAAACTAATCTTTAATAGTTTTATATATTATTGATAAAATGTGCGCATTTGCATATTAAAATCTTTATGAACATTCGAAATAAAACGCGAAAGCCACTGTAGTAAGTGGAAGTGATTTCATAACCTAGAAATGAATTCGTGTAATTATATTAATTAATGTGACCTGAGTGAATTGTTAACGCAGGTGATAGTAATCGGAAAAAACAATCATTATTTTAGTTGACCTCTTATTACCAATTTAAATAAAGAATACCAATAAGAAGGGTATGCTTGACACGATGTGTGGGCATCAAGTCTCCTGTTTTCGGCACATTGCGATTATGTACATATAGATTGCAAATTACTTTTACTATAATTATGCATTAACAAACAATTATAGAATCTAAAACTTACGAGTTGCCGGCAAGTAGTACCAAATAAGTAAAGTTTCCATATTTCTGCTCTTTGAAAATTTTAGTAGAGGCCGAGCTACGTTTTGCTGTTACGTAACGAGCAGCAAGGGTGCAAAAAAAATTTTTTTGCTTTAATAAAATTTTTCTCTTTAATTGAAAATCCAGAAATCGTCTGGAAATAGCCAAAATCGCACGAAATCTTTTCAGAGCAGTTTCTGCAGAAAGTTATATTTTTTATTTATTAAACGAATCATGTGAGACTTTCTATTAGATCAACGTGCAAAAGCATATCTATACATGTATACCATATATATATGTATTTCGCACTTCTGCGGATAGCTAAGTGATAGGTACATATAAAGATACCTACATTCTTATTTTATATACTCGTGCACTCATTCGCTTCTGGTTTTTTAAGCGGGCTGAAATTAGACCTTTTCGAACTAAGCATAACTTAGTGACAGCTTATGTATTGAAGAAATTGGTATGGGTTGACGTGCTTGGTCCAACTGATTTATTCAATTAACCATAGAAAAAAAGACATCCTTTATTGAAGAATAAAATACTGAATGGATGGTTAATAATGAAAAAAAAGTATAGACTATGGAAATAATATAAAATTTACAGAATATCTATTATTATTGCATGTCGAAATTCGTTTCACTATACGCGGTAATTTTCATGTCTGAAAAACTGAGTTAAGTGACGTCATTTAAATCAATATTAACCAGCTTTTGCATGTGTGCCCTTTACAATTTAATGAATAATTACAAAAATATTTTTTTTTTCAAGGCTTTCATTAGCACAGCGAACACTACTTTGAGGGTGAATTTTTCTTTGAAAATAAAATACCGTGCTTAATTTTCTTTGATCTTTCACGACAATCAACATATAACAGCAGTTGTTTGCTTCCAGCCAATTTTGCGCTTTACGTCGAAAGAAAATGTGAAATATTTGCGCTTATTAAATTACATAATAATTATCATTACTTTCCTCATATATAATGTTAGTGTTCTTATTAAAACAAGTGATGTGTAAAAACCATCAATGATAACTGAATCGCGCAGTTGATATCATTTATTAGTGGTTAGCAATAAAAAAGATAAGCTCATAAACTTTCCCCACACGATTGTTAAAGATTATAATAAACGTGTAGGATTGTTTAAGTATAAATGGGCTAATGACAAGCTATATAAAATTTGTCTATAGCACTTTTGGTTTTAAATCCATAGGCGTGGTTCCATTTTAACAAGTTATTACCGATTTTTTTACTATGACTTGCAGATTAATTTGGCAAAAGTTCATCTTAACTCTGTGTGCTTGTGAGAGGTTGTTCGGATCATAAAAAATTACATATCAAATTTTGGAATCATTAAATAAGAATGAAATTGCTTCCGAGTATTACGGCTGAGCTATATTGTGCCAAATATATCCAAAATTAAAATTTTTTTCAAACATGACGGTACCAAAATGAGACAATGCGAATCATGTTCACTTAAGTCGGCAAAGCTAAAGCTGATTCTGAAGGATCTTATATACCTTTCTGAAATATTTACTTTGTTTTCGATTTTCTTTTAATCTCTGTTGTTTTCTATCAAATATTAAAAAAAAAAAAAATTAGAAAGTATTTTTCTTTGCTCAAAATTTAACAAAAACTGAACATATATTTTTTAAGTGCGTACATATCAATACTATAATTAATTTATTTGATTCGTTTATCTATTTAATTGGTAGATGGCACCTCCATCATATCCAGATCTTGGCAAACAAGCCCGCGATGTTTTCAGCAAGGGTTACCATTTTGGTCTGTGGAAGTTGGATTGCAAAACCAAGACTCCATCCGGTATTGAATTCAACACAGCCGGTCACTCCAACCAGGAATCTGGTAAAGTGTTTGGCTCATTGGAAACAAAATACAAGGTTAAGGATTACGGTTTAAGCTTAACCGAGAAATGGAACACAGACAACACGTTGTTCACCGAGGTGTCTGTGCAAGACAAGTTGTTGGAGGGTTTGAAACTTGCATTCGAAGCTACTTTCGCTCCACAATCTGGGTAAGTGTAAAAATAATTGCTCGAAACTTTTACAATCGAATATAATTTGTAATTGCATTTCTCTTTTTTTTAGTAACAAAACCGGAAAGTTCAAGGCTGCCTATGGACATGAAAACGTTAAGGTCGATTCGGATGTGAATGTGGACTTAAATGGCCCACTAATCAATGCTTCGGCTGTATTAGGTTACGAAGGCTGGTTGGCCGGTTATAAAACCGCTTTTGATACTCAAAATAATTCATTGAAAACAAACAACTTTGCCTTGGGATATGCTGCCAAGGACTTTGTTCTCCACACAGCTGTGTAAGAATAATTTGAATACCTTTTGATATATGATTATAAAATAGATATTTTATATTTGCAGCAATGATGGCCAAGAGTTTACTGGTTCAATTTTCCAAAAGTGCACTCCTAAACTCGATGTTGCCGTTCAATTATCATGGACGTCCGGCGGTAACAACACCAAATTCGGCCTTGGTGGCAAGTACCTTCTCGACGATGACATCAGTGTCCGCGCGAAGGTGAACAACGCAAGCCAAGTTGGCTTGGGCTACCAACAGCGGGTTCGTGATGGTATCACAGTCAGTCTCTCCGCTTTGATTGATGGCAAAAACTTCAACGCCGGCGGTCACAAGATTGGTGTTGCTTTGGAGTTAGAAGCTTAAGAATTTAGGTCATAACTTCAAAAACAGAAGTAAATCCATAATATCGTCATATAAAAAATACCAATTAAATTATAACAAAACCCTAACAAGAAATAAAGAAGACCAAAATGAAATGTTTAATGTTTAGCCAGTAAAATGCATTTTAGAAATGTTAAATAAACAAGCCGGCTTATGTTAGCAATCCGTCACCATTTTTAAGCCTAAGTTTATTTCCGTTAGTGGATAAACTGCTATCACTGTCGCCCTAATAAAGTTGATAATTATGTCATATTCGTGCATTTAAATTAAAAGAAAATCGTTTTCATTGAACGCAATTTTTTACTAATAACAAATATCAATTAAATTACACAATATATGCACATTTTATCACAACCATTTGATCATAACATAGAGCATATTCACTTACGGCGTTTACCGCGAAAGTGCCAAAATTACCACCAGATTATACGTAGATGATGTCAAAACAGGTTCAAAGAATGTAAAATCATGCCATATGATTGGTAGTCCAAATTAGACGCACTGTTACATTAACAATATATAAGTAGAGCATGGGAATCAGAGAACATATAATAATTAGTTATTATACGTTCTCTGTCGGAATGGCGCAAGCGGGAGGAATTCGACGTAGTGAAGGTTGCAAATTCAAGTATTTATATTTATATTTAAATAGTAATTTCACGAAGTTTCAACTAAATAAATTAATTTTAAAAATCCATCTTTCGTATATAGGCAGCTTTTTCAATTGCTTATTGGTTTTGTCTTTTACAGGCCAATCTGATCGCCCCTTAAGAGATAATTCACAGCGACCCCTTTGTTTCACATTGAGTTTACCTTCGAAACTTGGACGCACTTTAAAGGGATACATTTGACGTTTGTGTTCATTTTGAATTATACGAACGGCGGAAAGGCGTCTAATTTCTTCGTGGTTCAAAAATTTAGAGAAAATATAATTATTAGAGCTGAAATGCAAAAATTACAAAAGAAACCACCAAACAGAGCTGAATTAGCCAAATTGTTGAAAGATGTACCTGAAGAATACCAACAACATATACAGTCGATGTCGCTTAAAATGATGCAGCATCAAGCTTATGGACAGCCGTAAGTGCAAAAAGTGCATAAATATTAAAATAATTAACATTAACTAACTTTTTGTTAACAGTTATCAATGGAGTACACGAGACTTTGAAATGGGCGCTCCTTTGGGACGTGGTAAATTTGGACGTGTGTATCTGGCGCGGGAGCGTACATCAAATTTTATAGTTGCTATGAAGATAATGTTCAAAGCTGAGTTAGAGAAGGGAAATGTACAGCGGCAAGTTTTGCGAGAAATTGAAATACAAACGCGTCTTAAGTGAGTTTATATAACATAAACTTAAACTTATATAGACTAACTTACTTTAAATTATTTTTATTAGGCACCCGAATATTTTGCGATTGCTCACTTGGTTTCACGATGAAAGTCGAATATATTTGGCACTAGAAATTGCTTCAGAGGGAGAATTGTATAAACATTTGCGAAATTCCCCACATCGTCGGTTTGAAGAGCCACGGGCTGCTAAATATACGTATCAAGTTGCCGATGCGCTTGAATATTGTCATTTAAATAATGTAATACATCGTGATTTAAAGCCAGAAAATATTTTACTGACGTCTTCAGATGATGTGAAGCTAGCCGATTTTGGTTGGTCTGCTCATACACTGTCTAACAAGTATGTTTCTATTCTCTTGTATTTTTTTTTCGAATTTTGAGTATTCTTCTATTAGTAAAAGTTAGAATTTTGAACTTTTTATATTAATTTACCCATGTATATTTCCGACAGACGTAAAACACTTTGCGGCACTTTAGATTATTTGCCCCCGGAAATGGTGGATGGCCACATATATGATCATTCGGTAGATCATTGGTGTTTAGGAATATTATGTTACGAATTTTTGGTGGGATGTGCACCTTTTGAGTCGAACGACAATGAAAAAACTTATGAGAAAATTAGACGTTTGGAGGTTTATTATCCACCCCATCTCAGTTCAGGAGCAAAAGATTTAATTTCAAAGGTAATTAACAATTTGTTTCCATTAATTTTCCCTAATTAATTTCTTATTCTATTTTGCAGTTGCTTCGAAAATCGAATAGTGGTCGTATTACACTTGTTGAGGTAATGAAGCACCAATGGGTCAAAGAGAATATGGCTAAGAGAAATGCATATTTAGAAGAGAAGATGAAACGCGAAAAGGAAATAGAATAAAATATTTTTAATTTTTATAAAAAAGACTTTTTCATTTCTTAAATTATGTAATTTTATTAAATCTTACGTGCGCTAACTCCTACTTTTGCATACCAATATTCATGTTATTAACAGTTTTTTAGTTTGTGATTTTAATAAAGGAGTTTTAAATAAAAATTATAATTTAGAAATCCCCTGAGAAAAAATCCACCAATCAATCCGATGTTTAGTATAATTGTGTATTATTGACATTTAATATTTTGGTGAAATAGACAATTGTTATTTAAAACAAAAATTAAATTAGAACTATGGATACTGTAGTACTACATCGGCTGTTGAAGCAAATGTGAAAGAATAGCAACGAATTTTACTTCAACGCAGATAAATCCTAGACATGGCAAATACACAACTTCTATGTGAGAAATTCTCGCGTATTTTTTCATCGATCCGACTGCATTGGAGATGTCAACTATTTCACTGGGAATTTTTCCTCATTTTCGAAATTTGTTTAGAGTACGAGGAAACTCAACACCGGCACCAATTTTTGAAATTCACGATTTCAAATTCTAGACAGTGGCAAGGCTACTTAATGCTGATCGCAGCTAACTTTAATACAGAAATACTTTTTCCTTCACTAGTTATTGTTCATTGGTACAATTTCGTCATAAACTGGAGAAGAGTTCAATTTGCAATAACTTTCTAGGCAAATAAAATTTTTTTTTTGTCACTTTTACTGTTTTGTTACTTATGAAATGAATTGTATTTGTAAAAAAAAATACATTAATATATAAAAGTTTGTGTATAATAATCATACCTGGTTCATCAAAGACTTTCGTAGCTGCGTCAATATTCTGGTGTGTACAAAATGGCGGACTTCTTTTATTACTCAGTCAACTAATTAATATAGGCCAAAAAATCTTAGCACAAACATTTAGTATTCAATAAAATACAGCGGGACAAATTTTTTATTTGTAATTAGTTCATACGATTTATGATATATATGTATACATCGACATACATGCACATATACTACAATTTTTGAAAAGCCCGTCCTCAAATGTTATTGATTTTATTGCAGTTTAACAATTTTAGATCCGGTTATTCAACGTAAGGTAAGTTTTGTACAGCATAAAGGGCTAACAACGATTGCTTTGTTTGAAAGCATATGTAAGAAAATTGGGCTTTGGTCCTTTATCGTGTCGGAAATATGTCTGACGCATTAACTGCGCCATTAATTCCACAACTGCAAGAGATGCAGCAGCAACAACAACATAATGGGCCAAGCGCCAATGCCTCTGGGGCTCAACAATGGTATTCTAATCCTTGGTATGCCAATCAACAATATCAGCAGCAGTATAGCCAGTATTATCAGTACTATATGCGTTATGGATTACAACAACAACAACAACAGCAGCAACAACAACAGAGCAATAACGCTCCACCAGGATTTAGTAATTGTGTAATACCACAATCTGAGAAAAATTTGCCGCCACTACCCTCAGGTCCGCCACCACCTCCGCCACTCATGCCAGGTAGTAATAATGCACAGTTACAGGGCAATCAAAAAGGTTTTGGAGGAATCCGCTTTAATTTAAATCAGCAAAAGCGCTTATCGAATGCACCAAATCCGTTGCAAAATTCAACGCCAGGAACAAATTCCCCAGTCTTTCAAAATAATAATATAAATGCGATGAATTGTATGAATTCGAATAACAATAATAATACTGGGAAAAAGAAACGTAAGCGTAATAAGAAACAAAATTCACTTCAACAACAGCAACAGGCTGCTTTCGATGCTCACTTTGAGAATCTAAATACAAGCCAACAATTGAACAACAGCTTTGTTAACACGTCATTACCACCACCTCCGATTCCATCTCCAATAACTGCTGATTTGACAAAGCCGCCACCGCCTATAACACCGTATATTAATTTAAATAGTGCCAACACTGGAATGGTTGCTACACAGACCGAACAGAAACCAAATGTGAACAATATGACAACGCAACATTCCAATTCTGTAGAAATGTCTACAAAGAAAACAACACTCTTTAATAATCCAAATGATGCTTGGCCAGAATCATTAAATAATTATGTAGCTCGTTGCTATGCCAAGTGTGCCACCGATTTAGATAAAGATCAAATTGATATATGCTTGAAAGGGAAAATAATGGCGGCAGCGAATCGCAATGAGCTTTGGACAAGAGATTGGGATAATGAGCCTATTCCAAGTGTCCACAGCGAAAGAAATAATATACAAATGCAGCTGTTTAATCAGCATCAGAAACAACAGCAGACTCAACAAGAAAATCAAAATTATAAACAACAAAATCAATTAGGCCATAAACAAACAGTACAACAAAAGAATTTGAAAGGTATATCGCGTAGTTTAAATGCAAGATTAGGTCAAAGAAATTCGTTTGGAGGTGCTCAAAGATCATCAAAGGATTCAAGAAGTCGCTCACGGTAAATACAAATACACTACTCCTACTTTTTTTTACATATCTAAACAAGTTTTTATTTCAGTTCGCCGCAAACAAATAAATACCCAAAACGAAATACGCGTTCGCGATCTCGTAGTCCTTTGCATAGTCCACGCCGTAAAACACGTCGCAGTTCTAGTTCGGAATCTCCGGAACGTCGGTCGTCTGAAAACTTTATACCATTAAATAACTCCTCTAGTAAAAAACAAAAAGTAAATTCTAAAAAGGGGAAACACCTTAAAAGTCCAAATGATTCGTCTAATTTGAAATCCAAAATCCCTTTTTATTCATCTTCTATTGGAGGTGCTATAGACGACGATTCGGCAAGATTGCAACAACGCGCTGCCCGTTTCTCCCAGGGGGTTTCATCTCAAAAATCGGTGGTTGCCGTATCTAGTAGTCCTTTCGGTCATTCGAAACAACAAAAAAGAAAATTCGGTGGTAGCTTGGGTGGACGAATGTTTATGGACTCTGACGCATCTGGTGGGGGTTTTGAGACAGGGTTAGATTTGTTTGATTTACATATTGTAGGAACTTCTAGGCTTTTAGAGAAATCTTTTCTACGTTTAACCAAAGCACCGCTGCCATCAGAAGTGCGTCCCATTGAGGTGTTAACGCACTCTTTACAAAACGTCAAAGAAAAGTGGAGAGACAACCAGGATTACTACTATGCTTGTGATCAGCTTAAATCGATTCGTCAAGACCTGACGGTGAGTGTAGAAACGATGACCTCTTCTGTATATGTAGATACAAATAATGCTTATTTATTATATTATAGGTTCAAGGTATTCGGGATAAATTTACTGTAGAAGTATATGAAACGCATGCTCGTATAGCTATGGAGAAGGGTGATCATGAGGAATTCAATCAATGTCAGACTCAATTGAAAATGCTTTACACAGAAGTGGGGCCAAGTCTAAATAGTTTGGAATTTACCGCATATCGAATTTTATATTATATTTTCACAAAGAATACCTTGGGTATGTTCTGATAATCACCTCATATGCACTTAACACAATTTAAAAATATATCTTTTAGACACAACGACTGTTTTGCGATCAATTAAAGAATCTCAGCGAGATAATCCAGCTATCGCCCATGCACTCGCTTTCCGTTCAGCTTGGGCTCAGGGTAACTACTGCAAGCTGTTCAAACTTTACAAGACGGCACCACTTATGGCGGGTCATTTGATTGATTGGTTTATCGATAGAGAGCGCAAGAATGCTTTAAACACAATTATCAAGGCGTAAGTATAAAAATATAATTACTAAATTACAGATTAAGCATTCAAATGATGCCTCTTTACAGATATCGCCCGACAATCGGTATTGAGTATGTAACAAATCTGCTAGCATTTGAAAGTCAAGAAAAGTGCAAAGAGTGGCTATCTACCTTCAATTTACCTATAATTGGCGCTAATGGTGATCAGATTGATTGTAAAGTTGCAGCAGCAGTCACCGTTTAGTCAAATACTGGGGAAAATATTTAGGAAGAAGTGAAAAAAGTTCTAAATAATGCGTAAGCAATTGTTATGCAGCAGTATGTGCAGTTAATTTTTTATTAACTATTTTTGTTGATGTTTTAAATCTGTGAGCGCAGCTGTCTTTGCGCGGTGCATAGCAATGCTACCATCACATAGTTCGACTGAGATAAACAATCGCTCTCTACGATAAAGCCAGCAATCTTCAAATTCAAAAATATGTAAGCGTTAAAATAGTGCAAAAACACCTCACTGGGTACACTTCATAAAAAAAGGAGACATTTGCTCTTTTAAGGGTGTAAGATTTGTACAGTTTGGCCCGACTTCAAAAATGTTTGAATCAATTAATAATTTTTTGTGGGGCTTGAAACATTTGAAGAGCATAAAGGGTGATATAATAATTATCTAATATTAATTAGCTATACGCATAATGCTCTAAATTCTGTGAAATACCGAATATAAACTGCAATTAACTCACATTTCGTATTTAGTCCGTTATAATTTATATAAATAAACGAAAGACATTAAAATAAATAAAAATCAAAATATCGGTCGTCGCGCAATAAAAATTAAATAAAGACGTTGCTGGCGAGATCATTGAACAGATCAACAGCACATTCAGCCGTGTGAATAGCAGAAGTTTGAAAACGTAAAATTCCAGTGGAGCGAGTGCGGTTTTAATTCCGGAAACGAAACACAATGTGCCAATGGGATATATTTCTTAATAAGTTATATTCCCGTACAAATGCTGAATCGCCCCTTAATTGTGCTTTTTCCAAATGCCACAGCCTCATCGGCAATGAGCCGATTTTCTTCGATTATAATTAATTTACTTCAATTATATACACAATTGAGTTGGAGCAAGGAATAGTTAAAAATAATACGAATTATTAATGGATAGAGATGTAATTTTCAGATTGAGTGTAAATTTTTGAAGTCCATCGCCTAGTTCTGATTCTTGCTCCCTCAGAAATTTAAATTTAAAAATAGGTTCCAAGTTTACGCATGATTTGTAAAACTGTCTTTACCGAGTTACATTGTTAGATATTTTAAATGTTATTTCTTATTATTTTATCTATTCTGCAATTATCGGTGAAATGACGTGAGCGTTTACGAAATTTGTCGATGCTGTGTCTTCGTTGAGAGGGCAAGAAAGGGCGTTTATCTTGGGGACAACTACATTGTCATCATTACAAAGATTCGCCAAAATGGATCATGTGTGTGGAATAATAAATTACAATCCTTTAAGTCAATACACAGTTGAGATAAGTGAACCAAGCTCAACAATTCTCTGAATTCACCGGACTAGATCTTCCTGCGGTTTTATTAGCTCATGAATATGCTAAAACATAGCTACTGCGGCATCGGTGCAGCAGCTGCCCTTCGATATCATCCATTTCACACACTGCTAAAACGTCGATTTGATATATTATTACATGTTAATTCATTATTTTAAGTATATAAGGCATTTTAAGGTTTTAGTATTAAGTATTTATATATAATTATATATATATGCTTGTTATTGATTTATGATTGTTTTTTGCCATTTGAAAGTAACCAGCAAAAAAAGAAAAACGCTTCCGTGACTTGCGTTTGGTTGGTTCAAGAAATTTGCGAATCTATAAGAGCGTTCAATAAAAAGGACTACAAAATTAAACATTAGCGTTTTTTAATAAATTAGTTTCTCTTGTTGTAGCGGTTCGCTAACCACGCTTAGGAGTAGGCGAGACTATTCTAAGTCATTGAGTTCATCTAGCGGGTTATCCAGAAAATCAGCTGTTTTAAGAGGTTCGTACCAGAGGGATGAGGCGGGGTTGTTGTTGTTGTAGCGGCTCGCTAACACTACTTAGGTACAGGCTTGATTAATCTAAGTCGCCGAGGTAATCTAGTGAGAGGTCCAGGTCATTTTAAGGTGAGGTGGAGGTCATGCAGAGAAGTTTTGTAACCGCAAAAATATTCCCTAATGTAGTTTTTGGAGAATGTTGCGAGAGTGACGGTCCTTGGCCACATATTGGATTTTCGCCACCTCTTACTGCGGATAATATCTTGAACCCCTAACCCGTAGGTGGTAAATTGCATTCAAAGATGAGCTGATGGGCAGTAACAAAAACCAGTAAAATTTGCAAACGGTGGGCGAAATTTTCGACGCGTTCGCTCAGAAAATACTGTAGTACTTCTTGGGAATCTTAGCTTGGTTGAAGGTACTAATTACCACTGTTCTCTCTAGTGCGTCAGCACTGCTTATCGCAACACCTGGTAGGCATAGGAAATGAGCTAACTCCCGAAGAGATGCGCGAGCTATTTTAGCCGAATTTTCAAACGGCATCCTTCGCTAGACAAAGCGAAGGGACGAGTAACCCGCCGTATGCGAAAACTGCAAAACGCCGGCGCGGCGTTTGATTTCTCCAGGGAGTAGGTTCAGGGGGTGATCGAGAAGGCAAAAGCCTCTAAATCTATGGGCCCCGGCGGATTAAGCATGCTGATCCTCAAACATCTAGGACCAGCGGAAGCAGAATTTCTCGCGAAAGTCCTCAATTTGTCTTTGACCATCCTAATGATACCTGACGTGTGGAAAATGGGTAGGGGGGTGGTCCCGCTACTCAAACCGGGGAAACCAGCGCACAAAAGTGAGTCTTATCGGCCGATAACTCTCCTCTCTCCAGTAGCGAAGACACTAGAGACTTTACTGCTCCCGACCTTTACTCACCATCTGCGCCCAGCAGCACATCAGCATGGCTTCGAAAAAAGTACAGCACCACAACAGCACTAAACGCCATAAACACCCAGATAGTCAATGGCCTCAACAAAAACCGACCCTGCGCGCGAACTGTCCTGGTAGCACTGGATTTGTCAAAAGCTTTTGACGCAGTCATTCATTCAGTGCTATTAACGGACATTGAGGAATCCTCATTACCGCCGGGGTTGCAGAGGTGGGTCTTGGGCTACCTAAGTGGTCGACAATCATCGGTAACATTCCGAGGTGAAACATCGAAACCCAGAAAAATTAAACATGGAGTTCCGCAGGGTGGTGTCCTCTCACCGCTAACTCCCTCCTCCACCAGAAGAAGTTTCCATAACCTCGTATGCCGATGATTATACGATAACGGCGTCTGGCCAAAATATTGATGACCTGTGTTCGAAAGTTAGCTGCTACCTTGCCGATCCTACTCACTTCTTCACTGCCCGACAATAAAAAATACAACCGACTATATCCTCAGCTATCCTCTTCACCAGCTGGACGAAGGAGTACAGGCTTGAACTAGGTGTGAAGGTCGATGACACAAAAATTCCGACTGTAAATAACCCAAAGATATTGGGAGTGACACTAGACAATCTGCACTCCTTCATTCCGCATACGACCGCAATTGCCGTAAAACTCCAGAGCTACAACAAAATACTCAAAGCACTAGGCGGCAGAACCTGGGGTGAAGGCAAAGAAACTTTGCTGGTAACCTAAAAAGCAATTGGCCGGCCGGTCGTAAACTATGCTGCACCGATCAGGGCGCCGGTGCTCATTTGTCCCCGCAGATGAAGAAGCTACAGGCTTGCCAGAACACCGCCTTAGGACTGCGACAGGAAACATCCTGATGTCGCTGGAGCATCACTTGCACAGCAAAAATCTATGCTACGAGTTCAGGAGCATAATGCTTTGTTGTGCAAGCACCCCAATAGGCACCTAATAGAAGCTGAACCTCCAAGTACGCACATCAGAAAAGGAGTTCTAGATTTAAAGGACACAATCCAGCAACATGTGCAACAACCGCTGGACTGGACGGCGTACAGACAAGCACTGAACGCTATTCACCAGGAGTCAGTCAACACCTTCAAAGACTCCCTTCCAGTGAATGACGTGCTCGGAAAAAAATTCCCCACTCATAGCAGACAACAATCTCGAGCTGCCACGGGAGATACGCGTGACCTTGGCACAACTCAGGTCTGGATACTGTAGCAGGTTAAACTCCTACTTATCCTAACCACCTCTTCACATGCTCTCTCAAATCAACTCATCTAACCGCCCTCTTCCTTTGATTCTACCCCTTCGAAAAACTTTGTTTCCTGGACCTCCCATTAGATGGCCTTGGCGACTTAGATTAATCAAACTAAGCACAGCGGGGTTAGCAACCGCTACAACAACAACTACAACAATAACCTCTTTACATGTCTCTTGAAATCAACTCATCTAACCCCCTTCTTCCTCTGGTGCGAATCCGTCGAAACAGCTCATTTTCTGTACCTCCTAGATGATCTCGATGATTTAGACTAACTAGCCTGCTCCTAGGCGGCGGTTGAAAAACCGCTACCACAACAACAACCGCCAATTAGCTCACCGCGCAAAACTAATTTATTTACAAAACAAAAACATTTGGGTTTCAGTTATTTGCAAAAAGAAATTATTTTATTTATATTTAAAAACAAAAATGATTTTTCAAAAAAACCTTCTTTTCCGTGATATTCTCGCAATAGCAATAAGTTTCGATTAACCTTTTACCAATGCGTCATGAAAGCTTTGAAAGTCCTTCCAATGCCTAACGCGTTTTTCATTGTCAGTTGCTACGTGTCACTGCTAAAGCTTTTCAACCATTAAACCGGAAAGCTTCCAACTAACCGCTGAGGTGAGAGGGATATGAGCAGTGATGGTAGTGTTAGCAGCAACAGCAGCAACAGCAGCAGCAGCAGCAAGAGCATCTTCGCCAACGCAAGCAGCATCGTTGGCGCGCACCTGTGTGAATTCGCTATTTAAGGAAGCTGCCCTCAGAGCGAAGGCTCAGTTAACGCGCGGCGTTTGAATTGGCAGGATCGCAAAATACCAACGGAAAAGTAAGGACAACCGTAGTTTAGTTTCAACTCGGAGTGAAATAAAAAGTGATTTGATGATAAAAATTAGTGGTATTTAAAATTGAAAAATAAAAAAAATTAAATTAAAACTAAATGTAAACAAAAAATATGTGAAGTGAAAATATTATATGTATGTAAATATGTAATTATATATTTAATATGTATATGTACATACATATTATTTATTATACTAAATAGTGTCTCTCTAAAGTGTTGTAGTGAATATACATACACACATACGTACATGTGCAGAGCGACCGATCCTGAACGCGCTAATTAAAATTTAAATTCACACACGGACAAATGTGCATATATATATATATATATATATATATATATTAAATACATGTAGCTTTTTTCTTTTATCTGAGTAGTTTTTCATGTACTCGTCGCTACACCCGTAAATTTGTATGTTTTCATTTGTTCTAACAAACCCTTTTAGTGTGTGTCAAATGTAACAGGCTTGTGTTGTTGGTATCAACAGAAAAGTGTTTAAATTCTAGGTGCAAATATAAAAAATACAAAAAATTGTAATTCATTGCAAATAATTCAATTAACCACCGAGTGTTGTTAATGTATTAACAGTTGTTAAATTACAATTTTTTTTTTATTTTTAGATATTTTTAGCCAATTCATTCTTTTTTTTTTTGCATATTTATTGTTATGAGAGGCCAAATTTATAGTGTTTGCTAATGTAAAATATTGATTATAACTGAAACAACAATAAAATAGTGTACAAAATTTACATAATCACAATTAAAAACAATAATGGTAACAAGTGCACATACATACGTACATACATTTATTATTGCCTGTGGATATCTAAGCAATAGTTATTAGCATTTTGTATAGGAAAACCATAAAGCCCTTCATACACCATTTAGCTTGTGGATTAAACATAAACAGTTACGCAATAAAAACAATAAAAATGTGAATAATTGTTGCAATTAACAGCTAATATTTATTTATGATTAATTTTACAATTGTTTATGAGCAGCTGCAGTAGCCGAGTGGATCGCAGTGTGTGCTAAAAGCTGTAGGGGAATGGATTTGAGCGTCGGGCGAAACCAAAGTCTAAGAAACAGTTTTCTCTTAATCGCTGTCAGAGAATTTCAATATCCCAGATATTATTTTTGACAAAAAAATTCAAAATTTTCATGAATTAACTAAACAATATTATGGGCCTGATTTCAATTGCATTTTTAATTGTTGAGTTATCGTGATTCTTGCGTATTTTAGGCTTACCGTTAAGTGAGAGAGTTACATAGGTACGAGGGGCGATTGCTAAGTTCGTGGCCTAAGGTACTTAATGAAACAAGTGTATTTTTTAAGTTTTTTGTTATTCAATATAGTCTCCCTCAAGTGAAATACACTTTTCACATGGTGAATGTAACGTCTTTATACCATTGAAAAAATTTTCTTTAGATTTCTGTTCAAAATGCCGCTTTCATCTCACTGTCGTCTGAAAATGTGAAAATCTTCCTATCCGTAACACACTTTTAAATTTGAAAAAAAAGGAAAAAGTCGCTGGGAGCCAGGTCTAGACTGAAGGGTGGAGGTCAGTTTCGGGCAATTCAATCGCTTTTAGGGCATCCCTCGCAACCCGAGCGGTGTGTTCGGGTGTGTTGTCTTGAAGAAATAGCCCTCCGCGCGCTAATTTGTCACGTTTCTTCTGTACGACTCACCCCTTACATTCCTGACTCAACAAATTAGCGTAATATTGGCCGTTCATTGTAGTTCCTTTTGGCAAGTAATCAATTAATAATATTTCCACGATATACCAGAAAATGGTAGCCATAATCTTGGACGCTGACTTTGCCG